GAGGCTGAACTACAACACAAAAAATGAACGGCTGGCAGGAAAGTTGACATTTTAAACCTTAATAAAAAATCGATACAGGGCTTTAGAATATCAATACAGTATCGGGAAATGAAATATTGCGATATTTCAGTGTATCGATATTTTCTTACACCCCTAAGTTTTTTCACACCCAAGTTGTCAGAAAAAAACTTGTTTTTTATGTAGTGTTACCCACAGAGATGATAAGAAAAAACACGTGGATGTTCGTTCAATCATAAATCCATCTTGCTAAAATAAAGTTGGCTTTTGCTCTAATGATGAAGATGATGAAGATGATGAAGATGAGCGCGCAGCAGAGCAGCACCTGATAAGTTCAACAGGCAGAAGCTCATTGTTTGGCAGGCAGGTATTAACGCAAAAATACTGGGTTTGATTAAGATTGTAGTTTTCTGCAAAAAAAAGCTCTAAAAATTACATTATCTTAACTTTTTATGATAATTTTCTACCGCGATGTATACAGTTACCATGAAGGGATTCAGTTTATACTGTGATATGAATTTGAGGTCATACCACCCAGCCCTAATTTGAAGCTCTTTTTCCTTCACAAACCATAGTTAAAAAAACATCTGAGTCTGTTTTTAGCAACACTTTTATTTATCTCTGTTCTGATTATTTGACAGTGTTACAGAATTTTGTAAAAAATATTGAACAATAGAACTGTAGAATATTGTAGAAAGAATATTCCAATGTGGTTTCTCTGTGCCTCTTTGCTCCATGTTACTTCTATTGTTGTGCAAGTTTATCCCTCAATGGAAATGCCTCAACGTTCATCTCAGACACTTTAACACTGAATTCATTCATGTTCACTGTTTACTACATAAAACCTCTGAACTAAATTCTCAGTTTGCGAATGAACCAGTTTGAGTTAATTCACAGTAGCACCACCTGAACATAAACATTAGTGGTGGATATTAATTTCCTGTATCAATATCAACACAAATGTTTAAAACTGATCCCAGTTTAWGGCCTGTTTTACTCCCAGAAGGATCATAAACAGAACCAACAAGATCAATGAAGTCTTCAAAGTAGTAGTTRAGACCACAGGTACATGTGGAAATATTTTCCTAAGGGTCTTTATTATAACGCAGTGTCATTCTCCCACCCAGGGCCTTATGAGACAATCTGCCATCATGCTATTTATTGCTTAAGCTGCCCTCTGCTGGCTGATAGAAAGAATGCAAGTTTTATCATTTATCCMATCTTTTTCTACACCTTGTTTTCTGAGTTATACGGGGATGGTGTCCAACTCTGATAGAGATTTGGTAGAAGGTGGTACACAGCCTGGACAGGTTCATCACAGAGACAAATTAAAATCTTTACATCTGATCATCACTTACTTCAYGTCTATCTGTATGTTTGTTTAAAGCTTTAGTAAAATGTGAACCTGCGAACAAAACCGAATGAAACTCTCACTATAACTGATTAACTTTTGAGGTCATCGTAATTCAAGCTGGTCTACACTAGCCAACACAAAAATGAAAGTCTACAAACATTGAGCTAAAATTCGATGCGGTAGCAACAAATGAACGTGGTAGTAAAAAAATTTATCGAAGTATTTTATTTCAAAACATTTCAGTGAATATTTTGACAAGAAAAATTGCACGAAAATGTGGCAAAATTTTAGTCAAGACACTATATCAAAAACAAAATGGTGGCACTTGGTCAGAGTTTTTAATTTAGATCCTTGTGAAAATGTGTTGGATCCATTGAGTTCAAATAACTTACAGTATAAGGCCTTGTAAAGTCAAAGAGACTGGAAAAAACCGAAAAGAGAGAGGCTAGTCAGTTTATTTATTTACTTATTTTTGGCAAAAAGTGTTTTTTTTAAATAACAGTAAAATCTCATCTTGCTCCCATGAGTTGAGTGTCTTGTCATTTGTGCAAAAATCACTACTGAACCACAGGTTTGTACGAACGCCGAGAGCGGCCATTTTRAACCTATAATTATTTTCCATGGTTTTCTCATGATAACGACATATTATGTTAATAACGACGAAACAACAAGGACCGTTTTCTCAAGATAATGAGTTCATTTCTTGATTTTTATCAAAATAACGAGTTATGATTTTCTGTGCGTCATCTTTGTTCATGGAGACGGCCCGATCCCCTCAGCAGTTTATTACATCAGCAGGATCTTTGTGTAAACRCCTGCTGACACCAGCCGTCTCCTTAAATGATGAGGGCCGATATGAACGTTATCTGTACAAGACAAACAAATCACAATTTCAACCTGTGTAATGTTACAYAATGATACAAAAATTTTACCATTTTACAAAAATGACACAAACTTATGTACACTAAGTTGCCTTCAGGCCCAGGCCACCCTTGCAAAAGAGATCTGCGATCTCAGTGGGATTTGCCTGGTAAATACATAAATCAATAAACAAATAATCAAATAAATAAAAAAAAACAGTAAACTTCATCATTGAACAGCTGAGGGGACCAGGCTGTCTCCATGGTTTCTGAATGAATCACGTGAGGAAAACCATCTGGAATTAATTTCGTGACAATGACTTAATATGTTGTTATCATGAGAAAACCATGGAAAAATAAGTATATGCAGAAAACAGCCGCTCTTGGCTTCTGTAGGTTTGGACACAAACGGGATGGATGCACACGTCGACAGCATCCCACCCATCAAAAAAAGAAAAAAGAAATAACAAAGGTAATACTAGTGTGAATATAACCTCCTATTACATAATATCCATACGTACACAATTGTACACAAATACACCAATTATTCGGTGAATATAGTAACAGATGAAAATTAGCCTGTGGCTAACTCTGGCACATTTACAGAAATGTTGATTAATGTGCACTGTCCCTTCTAAATAAATAAATTCAAATGTCTAAAAAGGGGAATGAAGAAGTTAAAGTTATTAGATCATATCCCTTTTCAATTTCAAACTTTTCAAACGGATCAATTTTGAGACCTATTTTATTTTGCTGTATATCCGTCCTCTGAGTCAGATTATAAAAAAATTCTGTGATGTGTCCCATCTGCATTTATACTGCTCTTTTAATGATTCCACCTCCTACAAGTTGGCTCCTCTGATGGACTGTGTCACAGAGGTAAAGAGCTGGCT